CATCACTCCGGCCCAATGACCAGCTCCACATTTTCACATAATGTACATTTGCTGCTTTATAGTAAACACTGAACCCTAGTGAGTGGGGTTACCATTTTCTTTAAGATGGGCTTCTGAAAATGTTCTAGGTAATAACTCCTTGAAACTTCTCTACCTGTTCCATCTCCGATCACCTTGCTGAACCCCTTTCCTTCCTTGCTGGCAGAAAGAGAAGGGACAAACATTTGTTCATAAGTACCAGTTTCCTTTTACTGTCAATCCAGGACATACCCTGCCCCTACCCACACAGGAGACACACCTGGCATGTGTTGGGTACATGCTTGGGCAGAAACCCCTTCCTGCTGCAGACTTAGTCCCATAGCTGGGCTGGTCTAAAGAGCCCCTAATGTCACAAAGATCAGAAAGTCTCACCACTATATACCCTGAAAAGACTCGAAAAGTACTCCCTCAAAAGCAAATGCTAGTTCACAGTCTAGCAATTTCTATAGAATTTACAAGGTTCAACTACTTCACTTACAATGTAGCTCAACTACTCTGAAAAACCCTTCTTCCAACAGGCAGGCCTGCTGCTGTAAAAGCGCTGGTTCAGAATATTCAAGATGCACGACTTGGGGAAAGCTGTCTGGTTTTTAGGCAACCCCTGTGATTTATGACTCTGTGGCTCAATCAGTACAGGGTTTGGAGAAAGACCAATTCCATTTGCTTACAAGTCTGATCCCCAGGCTCTAGGGTTTCCAGCGAACCTGGCAATCATTTGCTTTTAATTATTTGATCCCACCACTGAAAGAATGAGCCTTGATAACCCATCGGCTACCTAAGAATCCAGGCAGAGTAATGGCTGTACTGATGTCAAACTCAACTCAGGCAAACCATCTTCCTTCAGGGTGATTTTAGGCAGCTTTGATTCGTTTTAATGAAAAGTAGCCGAATTTCACTCTGAAAGAATCCTCCCAGCACACCTGATTCTCTTCAAACATAATTTATTTGCCAAAGGACTCTAAACTTCACAGCAAAGCTGTATAAAGCTTAGAAAAACAAGTTGATTTAAAGTTTCTATTTTTGCATGGTGTCCCATTTCCAGAGGGGTCGAGACTAGTGGTTTCAAACTTAATTTAGCATTTAAACTAATTTTCAGCCAGGTCTCTGTGGACCTGCAATTAGGGAAGGCAGAGTTCAAAGAAGGGGGCGGCTGGCTTGTGGATCTTTCCGGATGTGCACCCGCCCCTCCTGCCGCCCGCCAGCCAGGTCGCCCTCCAGCCCACTCCAGCTCACAGGGGGTGGCCAACCTGACCTGTCAGGCAGCTGGGCAGGGAGCACCTGGGGCTTTGCCTTTGCTGTGTCTGGAAAGACACTAGTGGCCACGCCCATTAATTCGTTCTAAGGAAAGGAATCCAGGGAAGGCTCTAAAAACTTCCTGAGGACTCTGATGAGAGATGCGCACTGCAGGCCAAGTCTACAGGCCAGGGACAAGAGAAGAAGGGGTTCTTTCAGCTCCCAGAGCCCTGCAGCCTCAGGCCCTGCATAACTGCCTCAGTGCTCCCATGCCTGCCACCAGCTTCCTCTGAAGCCACAGCAGTCCTCGAGCCTCAGCGTCCTCGCTTTGTGAAGCTTATTTCACTTAGAATGTGATTAGGTCATATTTGAGACCACGGCGCAAATGGCAAAAGGTACAAAAAGGTACTACAGTGCCAAGTCTGCCCCACCGCCCCTCCTCAGAGGCAATCACTGTCATTTCCTATGTGCCCTTCCAGAAATAGCGATTCCTTTGTAGTCTTATTTTGAGTTTGGCAGAATGGCGCTAGGTTATACATGCTTTTCTGTTCCTTCCTTTTCTTCTTTTTATTTTTTACTTAACACTATGTCCTCCCTAAGTCCTAAGCGCCTACAGTTATTCCCGCTTTCATATTTCTTAAATCAGGGAGTCAGACCTTGCGCTTATCAGAATCTGGTAAATGTTCCCTAACTGCCTCAACAGAGTAGAGAGGAAAGAAGAGAAAATGGGAGGAGACATCTTACAGCTAGGCATCACGAAACACCCAACACCCAGCTGAGACTGCAGGAGAACTGGACTCTATACTCTGCCCAGTTTATCCAGAGTGAGGGAAGCCTTTTCAACTTTTTTGTTTATAAGAATCTGAAGAAGGTCAGTCTTACAACTGTCATCCTTAATTCCCATGCCAACGTTTAATAACTCACTTTCAAGACAGTGTTCCCTCAGGGGCATAAATGTGCGGCTTTGCTCTCCCAACAGACAGACAGGGCTCTGTTTAGTGAGAGATGCTGACCAGCATGAAAAGTAGGGGAGTGAGCAGGAGAGAATCATCTGGAGCTGCAAATCTCAGGAATACGAATTTTATCTTTTAGACTTTGTCTAGAAGAACCTTACCACTAGCAGTACAAAAGTGGAGGGTGAAGAGACGAAGAAAAGTAAGGTGGTTGCAGAAAACCCTTTATAAGGTTTTTTTTTTTTTCAGTTTTATAAGTGCTTAAGACAGTAAAAAGCACAGGCGGGGCATCAGCAGGTGAGAAAACAGAACTTGAACTCAGTTTGAGCAAATGACTCGCCCAAGGTCAGGAACAGAGCAAGAGAGCGGGCAGCAGTCAGACTCCAGCCCAGGCAAGCTCCTCCTGGCACTGTCAGGTCCCTCACCTCCTGCTCCCACATTTGGGCTGTTTTGTTACTCATTAGTATCTCCACTGAAGGGTGAGCCAGGCTGAAAGGCCTCTGCTTGCTTAGCAGATTTCAGAAGAGGTTCGGCATGAGACTGGGCTAGTGATCTTGCCTTATCTATGTACCATTTTTATTCATGACATTTTCACCTCCCATCACTAGAGAACAGTTAAACGTTGGCTAGATGATGCTCCAAGGAAGCCAAAGACATGTAAAAAATCCCCCTTCCCCAGAGCTATCGTGTACTGGGGATTTTAGAAGTGTCACATAGCTATAGCATCAAAGCCAGCTTGCTGACTCTGGACGATGCTAACAACTGGAAACGTCTCATGATAGAGCTGGAAGCCTCTGATTCCTGTCAGTTTTGCCACTATAGCCTGCCCAGACACCACTCGTCCAGAAGCCAGCCTGTGGCCACCTCTGCTCCACTGCCTTTGTGTGGCTGCAGGGACAGGCAGAAGTCCGTCCTGACCTGAGAGGGATCTAGGATGGAGCAGGCAGGCCGCCCTCCTCTCTGCCCTGACTCACCTGTCCTCCTCAGCATGCCTGGAGTTTAAACACAGAAGGCACACAGAAGCTCAGGCTCTGGTTCTGCCATGGGCTCTCCCCCCGCCCACCCCAAGTGATATTTTGAGCTGCCAGTGTGTGTGGGGAGGGTGTGTGTTTGTGGGGGGGGGGGGAGCAATGAGCACGGTGTCTAGGCCTTAAGCCTTCAGTCGGCTTCACCTCACACTGGGGGCTAGGCCACCCCAGCGAGCTGATTCCACAGGAAGCAGCCTCCGCCAAGCTAGCTTCCTCAGCAGATTTCCCACAATTATAATAAAGACGACTTTCATTTCACGAGCTCACAATAACACAGATAAAAAGAAGATAGCACCAGTGGTCTTTGGCAGGGGAACTACCCTGTGATATCTCCACCAGTCATGAATGAGCTCAAAGGACTAAAAAAAATTAAAAATCACCAAACTGTTCCAGAGGATTCCACAAAAGCCAGCTTAATGGTCAGGGAGCCACTCCAGGGAAACTCCCTGCCCATCCTGCCCCCTGTGCCCAGAGCCCCGCACACCTCCCTGCTCTGAACTTCCCCAACTCCCATGGTGGGAAGATCCAGTTACATGCTGACATGGAGTCTGAGACTGTGTGAAGGAAATGCTTTGTGAATTCCAAATATAATTACTAGACTGTCATTCAAGAAAAGAACATTATAAGGTTTTAATTGTTTCCTGCCCTCGCCATCCTCCCTTCTGATCACACCGACTCCACATTTCACTTGGTCAAATGGAAAGGTTTGGGTTCAAGCTTCAGTACTGAAACTCTCTAACCAAGGGACACCGGCAGGACTCACCCCTTGAGCCTTTCTGCCGCTTCTGCCTAAGAGCATGATGGTAAGGGCCTCACAGTCTGTGTGAGGACTGAAAGCTGCCCAAAAGTCTCCCCTTAACCTTGGGGATATGTCCCAAGACTTCCTCCCACCCCCAGTAAAGCTGACACCTAGCTTAGCACTGAAGCCTGTAAATATTATATAATATACTATACACATCTACCCAGAATAAGGCTGAATTTATAAATCAGTCATAATATGATAATGAGATTACAGCAGTAATTAATAATAAAATAGAACAATTACAACTGTATACACAATTATAGAACAATTATACTGTATACTGTAGTAAGTATTACGGGCTCTCTCGCTCTCAAACTATTTTATCGAATATAATAGTATTTTCAGAGCTTGGAAGGTTGTGTGTAACTGAAACCACACAAAGCAAAATCACCAGCAAGGACGTGTCATGTGGGCGCAGGTCTTTAGAAGGACTGGGCCTCCGTGGCCCCGGGTGCCTCACCACTGTCTCCAGGATTGGGACCGTGACTACTATTCCACTGTCCTTCCCCACTGTGATTAGAGCATCTCCGTGTTTCCTGCAAGCTTTCCTCTCATAGGCACAGAAGAGATTCCAGAGATTCCTGGAGTGTCAGCACTGGAGGGAACCCTAGGAACTAGAAGTTCCCAAGTAGGTCCTGAAAGCATGGCTAGTACTGAACTACCCCAAGCCCCGACCCGACCAACCCCACCTCCATGGCCCAAGTCGGAAAAGGAATCAGAGGTCTGCGTCATAGGCAAGGTGGCAGCCAACCCGTACCCCCGGACTCTGGCGCCACATCTGTGTCCCCAAACTATCTGCTGCCTGCTTACCCCCAACAGCTCCTTCTTTCATGAGTGAGGACCCTCCCTCTCTGAGGTCCCCTGAAATCTGACATGCCTTCACATAGGGTCACCCGTTTCACTTAACGGTGAAGAGGCTGCGGGGTGGGCAGCTGCGGCAGGTACCTGGGCGTTCTGCAGGGGTGGCTGGTAGCTGGACGGCCTGTAGAACATCCTCTGGGCAGCGTCAGTGTGGATGTCGCCGAGGAAGAGCTCCTCCACCAGGCGGTCCAGGTTGTGCTGGAGGTACTGCTTCTCCACGCGGATGAGCTGCAGCTCGTGCATGGCGAAGTTCATGGCCTTGGTGCACTCGCAGCCATTCTCCTCCCGCCACAGGTCATAGGGCACATCCTGCACCCAGGCGCCCTCCGCAGGGATGAAGCCCGGGCACGTGCGGTTCACCAGCTGGCTGAGTCTCTCGGCCACAGCCTCCGTGTGGCAGATGACCTGGACATTGTGCAGCTGGTAGTCGGCTTCGGTGCCACCACGGATGATCCAGGAGGCCTGGCGCAGGCGGATCTTGCCCCGGATGATGAGGGTGTAGGTGGGGCTTGTGCAGCGGTTGCCACCATAATAGAACTGGTAGGCCTTGAAGGTGTTGTTATGGTAGAATCTGTAAGACCTTGTGATAAACTCTGGACCTGACCTCACTTCACAGCTGCAGAAGAAGAAAAGAAGAAGACTTTTCTTTATCCAAAGGCTGGAGGAAGAGATTCAGTACAGTATTAGTAACAGTAATCATAATAAAATGCCTATGCTGGACCAGACACTGTTTTAAGTCCTTTACAAACACCAACCGAAAGAATCCTCACAGCAAGCTATAAACTAGGTAGGGACCATGATCATCCACCTCTCATAGAAAGACAAACCGAAGCACAAGATATCAGAGAACACACCCCAGTCACATAACCACCCAGCTCTGGCCAGACCCTGAACTTGGACATTCTGGCTCCAGCCCATATGCTACATAATCACTTGACCCCAGAAGTTCTTTCATTCATTCTATGAACAACCCAGAGAGTAGAAACTCACCATACCCAGTTGCACTGGCAGGCCCAACTTAACTGTGAAATTTCTTTCTTGCTGGCAATAAGAAAAGTCTAGTGGGCGTCCCTAAAATAAGTACCCCAATGCTAGTGTTAAAGAGACTGCTTTCCTGGCCACATCCATTTTATGCACCTTGTCCAGAGCAGGGCAGTGCCCGATGTCCCTTATCCTAAAACAGAGGCTAGCCTTGGGGAGGTGCCACTGGGAGGCAATCAACCTCAGCCTCATGCCATCAAAATGAATTTTCTTTGAACAGAAACAGAATGGGAATTAGTGAATGAAAAGTCACCATAACAGAAATAGCGCCTCTTTTGCTTGTGTTTTTGAAAATGACATTTTTTTTTTTTTTGCTGTGGCTTAGATCAATGCTGGATTCCTAGGCCAAGACACTTGGCTGTGTCTACAGAGCACAGAGGGCTCAGTGGGCTTTGACTCAGTACGGTCCTCCCAGTGCTATGACTGACTTGTTTCCACGCAGCACAAGGAAGGGCTTTTCTTCCACACACAGGCCAGAGACCTTGTCCATTCCTGACGTGGCGCTAGAACCCACTCTCAGTGACATCATGACTTCCATCTCATTAATTCTGACCTGATAACTCTGCTTCTGTGCATAATAAATGATACAGAATACATACATTTAATATAGTACATAGCATACATATGTATACAATAAGCCTAGTTCTTTCCTACCCAGTACTGCTAAGTCAAGCAATCGGGCTGAAATCTCAAAGGCCAACAGGTCTCAAAACTGCTAGCAGTTTAGTTAATAAACTGGTAAATCAACATTATTTCAGAATGGATACCTTTCATTAGGTAAAGACTGTCCACTGATGTCAAATTACACCATTTGGACACAAAGCAAAGCTTTGAGCATCCCTCATCCCTGCAAAAGGAGTGAAAGGAGGCTCAGGAAAAGGGAAGTTTAGTGTGAGCTGTGATTAATATCTGATAAATTATTCATTTTTAAGTGATAATATCACTTAAGATAAGCAGATCACTTAATTGTAGTGTTTGATATAATAAACATTGATGATGGCTGGTGTAGCCTCCTCCAAAGCTCAGCAAGTCTCAAGTCCATTCCAGCCCCACCAACACAACACCCTCACCTAAGCCTCCTGCATCTCAAGCCAGAACTGTTGCAACTGTTCATCCCCAAATCCCTTTTTCTACTAGCCATCTGCCATGGAGCAGCCAAAGTGCTTTTAATGAAGCTGAATCACGCCTTAAGCATGGTCATTGCTGAAAACTCTTCAGTGACTTTCCTGTTCTCTTAGATTAAAAGCCAAACTCATGATGAGCCCTGCCCTGAAGATGCCCTGAAGCCCTATCCTCCTCGCAAGCCCCTTGGGGGTTGCTCTTCACTGGTTTACTGCACCCCGGTACAGGGCTCCGGGCAGTGATTTTGCCAGTCCAGAGTTTGTGCGTTCTTCCTGAGAAAAGCTCTTCCCTCGGGCTTTGGACAGCCAAGGCCATCTCAGCTCAAGTGTCCTCTCCTTTCGTAGCCTTTCCTAACCCCACCCCATCCTAAAATAGGGCCCCCTGGTATCCTCCTTTAGCACCTGTTGTTTTCCCCTCTTCATGGTGCTACTTTGTATGTTTATTTGTAAAATCTCTAAAGAAGGGGTTGTGTCTGTTCTGTTCACAAGCCTGTACACAAAACCTAGAATAGTGCTTGGCACACAGTACATGTTTATAGATACTTGATAAATATTTTCTGAATAAAATGATGAATTATTTAAGAGAACATCCCATTAAGATTGTACAGAGATCCATCATCTGGCTATTCTGAGAAAGCCCATTTTTAGAAGAAAAAAGTCTGGGTCTTCATCATCTTATAAAATTTCTTTTTTCTTTTTCTTTCTTTCTTTTTTTTTTTTTTTATTCACTTGATCCCTCCCTAAGGTATCTGGAGGCAGCTCAGGAGAAGGATCAGATCCCAGGGTTAGCCTCATTAATTCTCAACAACTTAAGGAGTAGAATAAAACCTGCAGGTCTGCCTCTAGGTTATTTATAAAAGCTCTAATGGAAGATAAGCCAGAGCTCAGATGGATAAATCTCAGCTCTACAGCTTGGAAAAGAACCCAAGAACTAAGCCCTGGCTACTAAAGGTAGTATGAATACCTTTTAATTTACTATTAGAACCCTGATGCCATATTAAATTACCAGAATATGGCTATAATATTTGGACCATCACAAACTTCTTAAGTCATGTTTCAGAGTTGGTGAAACACAGACTCCTAATTTTCCTTGCTAATGGTTTCTTTTTATACACAAGTGGTCCCACAGTTTGGTAAACAAGGACCCATTCACTCACACCTCATGGTGAACAGTGGCACAGTATCATCTCTGCTTTAGCTAAGACTTCTACAGCACTTAGCTGTTTTTTTTTTTACCTATCACAGTTTCAAAGAGATGTTTGGCACTTAGAACTCAGACAACATTTAAATCACACACATCTAAATCACAGAGTCCTACCTTGGGATGTGAGGGAGACTGGTTCCAGAACACTCTGGATACCGAAGCCTGTGGATACTCAAGCCCCTTACTGATTACAGGGTTGTATTTACATAAAACCTATACACATCCTTCCATGTACTTGAAATAATCTCTACATTACTTGTAATATCTAATACAATGTAAATGTTGTACAGTTTGGAATAATCACAAGAAAATAAAATCTGTACAGATTTAGTACAGACACAACCACCACTGATATAACTACACAGATTTTCCAGCCATGGTTGGTTGTAATCACAGATACAGAGGGCCAGGCATGTGTGAGTGTGTGTGTGTGTACATATGTAAATGTGTATCTATATAGTGTCCAGGTATCTGAGGAGCGCTAAGAAGGAACTTCCATACAAACATGCCCTCTGGTCCCACCCTGCCATCTTCTGTCCTGGTCCTCTTACCCAGTGGACACCCAGTGGCCTTCAATCGCGGGTGGCATCTGCACGGTGATCCTTGCACCATTGTGGAGATGTTTCAGCATATGATGGCACTGTGATTCCTTGAAAGCCCTCCAGGCACTTTTCTCTAAGGACCTTGGGTGGGATCTGCTATCTGGATGAAGGAGGGCAGACCCCTCTCCCAGCCCTGGAAAAGAAAAATGGAAATTAGCCAAAAGAAAATCTAGCAGCAGACAGGAATCAAGCTGGAGAAGCACCTCTCAGCAGGGAAGACACTGTGAGTGGGAAACACACTCCTACTCCACTGGCTTTATCACTGTCTCTGTTCTCAGAGAATTTAGTCAAAAGTGAACAGGATCCAGGGATACATGGAGATAACAAATATGACTTGCATGATGTCACTTGTCTAGTTCTTGGCACAGCCGGAGTCAAGCCGTGCATCCATGAAATGACAAATAAGGTCATGCATCACCATGCGGATGTAGGGTAGAGGCAAATGAATGCAACAGTGCTGAAGAGAAAAATGAACATCACTGAAGTGGCCATCTAGATTTGGAGATGGGGCTGAAGGGAGAGGGAAGAAAGGTGTCACTAAGGGCAGACGTGTGATGACACATGGATCAAGGCAAAGCTGGAGAGAAGTTTAAGGACACCTCCAAAGACTCCTAGCTGTGATCTGCTGCCCGTGTGGGTGCCCCCTGCTCACATCACGCCACGCATCTTCTGCCTTTCTAGATATCCAAATCAGTGACCTCCAGTTAGCTGCCCAGCAAAGACTTGTGTGTCTTACATCTGCTCAACAATGGGGGGAGGCAGTGACATTTTTCTAATTCCTCACCCCAACAGAGTTGGTGACAAACTAAACACACATTATAGAGCTTAAGAGTAATTACAAGACAACTGCTTATTTTTATTTCCCATGGGTAAAGGAAAACTAGGAATAAGTAGCTTAGGTGGGCCAAAATTTACACAAGGCAGCCAGCCTCGGGATCAGAAGAACGCAATGCAAATAACTGAGGTATTAAGCTGAAAAGCCCAGCTTCTACTGAGATTCATGATTGAAGTAATTAACAAATCAGTAGGTTTTTATGGTGGTTGTACTATGTTTCCAGTAAAAAGACACTGTTAGACAAATGCACATAAATAAAATGAAAATATATGTAACATAAATTAAAATGCACCTGTTAGAATGCTAACTACGAGGAGGTGATTTTATGTTTTTTTTTTAAGTCAATACCTGAGAAACTTCATACAGAAACTATAGTCTATTTGACAATGAAAAATCAGACCCAGAAAAAAGTGACTTCTAATAACATGATAAAAATCCACTAGAGAAGCTCAGACACGCAGGTTGATAACATTTCTGACATTTGTAAAATATTCAGGTATTTGCCAGGATCCAGAGGGTTGCACTAATCCTGTATTAAATGTCTTTGGCAGCAATCTCCATGCGGGACCTCTCGGGGGCTTTCCCGAGTAGAATCCTGGCCTTAGGAAAAAGTAGTAGGTTTAGTTCATTCTTGCAAATTTTAAGTAAAATAAAACAGAATTTGGAAAAGACACCACTGGAATGGGAATGGTTTAACTAAATGAAAAAGGTGAAGAGATTAAACCAGATGATGGTTCCCTGTTCAAATTAAAAGCAACCTCACCACCCCTTTAGTCCAATCATGTGATTTGAACCTGAGCCAGGGCAAGGGAAGCCATGCAGATCAGAGTCTATGCTCAGTAGTGTTGACATTCATGCTTGTGGTTAGTGGGGAGCGCCCCTTTCCTGTGACCTCTACTTTCCACGAGGGAGGGCACTTCCCCCAGAGTAAGTTACCAGCCACCCTCTCCCTATTCTGCATTCAAGCCTCCCTAGTGTAGTGGTGTATGTGTGATAGAACAAGAAATTGCAAGGTTGAACTGGTGATTTTTCTTTCTTTTTGCAAAACCAGGCTGTTTGCAAAACACACTTTTTTAATCAGTTCCCCATCTCAAAGTTTGAAAAATTTAGAGGGGAACTATTAGCCACCTTATGGACCTATGTCTATACTGTCTTCTGATGGCACGATTAACCCTGGTTCTGATGTTACAGGTCCCATTTGTGTGACACCTGTGTTGCTCTCTCAGCTTTGAAAATGGGGTAGGAACTGCGGAATAGTTACCGTACCTCTGCCAAGCCCAATAGTTGGATTTATCTTGATGACTACAAGCACTTTTTAATTTCCCTATAAGAAATCAGTCTGAAACATAATACAAGTCGCTGTCTGCTGGGTCAGCTGTGTGATCAATTATGATGTGGCTAACTTAAAATACATTTCAATTCAGGTCACAAGGCACTGGAAGCTGGGGAGGATTCTGCTTTAAATGTGACACTCCTAATCAGCTATTACTCACTATCAACCAAGCCATATTCTAAATATTGATCTGCAAGCCCCTTTAAAGCCTGCAAATTCCCATGAAGATAATAAAAGCCAGGAGGTAGTAATTTACTAGGTAAAATCTCCAAACTCGGCTGCTTGAGTTCAAAACTGGATCTACTACTTAATGAATTTCATTGATGCAAGACTTCAATGATTGTTAAGAAGCGTCATTATTTTATTACCAGTGACAAAACACTTGCATTTAAACGAAGACACAATGTCCTGACAACAGTTCTGAGATACCCATGAATCATGCACAACAGCCTACAAATTGCTCTGACCATTTTTTTTTTTTTTAATCTACTCAGAGATCTGGCAGAGTCTCGGCTAATCTTGACAAGGCAGTGACTTACTTCACGTGTGACGGGTGGTCCCCTTGCTCTGCACGTATCTCCATAACCAAATATAGGCAGAGGCTCATCTTTTTGTGATTATCTTCTTTCCAAGCAACTGACTGAAGTTATGTGAGAAAATATGGTATTAATTACTCCTCCCGTGATAAATATTTGCCTCATTAAGGTGACTAGGACACTCCACAGCTCTCTTACCAAACCTGTCTGATTTTTACAGTGCTGCTTCTTTTCAGCGCTGAGGCTAGTTTGTAAGTGAGCTACACAGAGAGAAACCAAGCATGTTTGGCTCAAACATTTACTCTGTTTTCAAAACCAGCCTATTTGTAATTAAACTCAAGATACAGAGTACCAGGAAGTAACATTTGACCATTTGAGCAGCTGTGTCCAGGCAGACACAGCGAAAGCCAGTGTCACCCCTCATGGCCACTCTATGTTCCCATAGGCCATCCGATACACATTTATTACCCATACTTTAAGAAGAAAAAAATATATATGCTTACAGTCAATGAAACCCAGTTAGTGTCATGACCAAAAACAAATCAGTTCATCTTTTCAAGCCTCAGTTTCTCCATCTATAAAGAGGAGATACTACTACCTACGGATTAGCATTGATGACAGGATTAACTGAAACGGTTTTCTTTAGTACAATGCCTGGCACGTGTTTTTTATTAAATGTTAGCAGCAATTATTTTAAATAATGACTAAGGTTTTAGACTGGCCTCAAAAAGTCCTTCCTAATTATTAGCAAAGTTAGAGTAATGTGAAAAGTTATCCAGAGCTAGGCTGACTCTGAGTTCAGGGTATAGACAAGGGGCCCCTAAGCACAATTAATCACCCTGAGAGAGAAGAGGGTGGGACCCAAAGTAGCAGACTCTGCAGTGGTTAACAAGTTCACCTCAGTTTAACACCTATACATTTTGAGGTTTCAAAATTTTAGGAGCCAGAAGGATCAAGGATAATGTAAGTTTTCTGACCTTGAGATTCTTTCAATGTAACTGGCCTGGATGTCAAAGAACAAAGGCAGAGATGATGCAGGAAGGCTCTGGGGAGGAAGCGGGGGGTTGAAGGCAGAGGAAGCAATGATCACATACATGCATGTAAGGCTGCACTCACGCAGGAAGAAGTCTACAGGTGTGCTTTTTAAACAGAGGTGGAAGATGGAAAACCCCAAAGCCATCAACATGCAAACCATCAGAAAGCAGATAAAAGATTAAGTTACTCTAAAGGCAAACCCCCATTTTGCTATTGCTCCTGTTTGAAAACTCATTAACTAGGCAAGACTATCTGTGCAGAAGAGCATTGGAGCGGAAGGGAACTCAACCCTCACAGTTCTCTCAGGACAAAATGATTTATGGTTCACACACTAGGTGTGTGATTTGCCACCCCAGGTGGCAAAAATGGGGTTAGTATGTTCCCCTGTTTTCCAAACTCTGAAGTACCCACCACCTTGATTACTCTAAAATGGGCAAAATTAAATGGGTCAAGTGAAATCCAGAGTTTCTATAAGGTAGGAGAAACTGTCTCCTATGGTCTGCAATCAATTACTGACAGTGGTCTCCAACATCTTCCAGCTTAACTAGTGTGGAAAATGTGGAGTCCCTTCTTGGGAGTGATACTTCAATTGAATGACAAGTAATTCAAAGGTCATTTGAAGAACCAGGTTCAACTTCACTGTGGTCAAGTATAACAGCTATACTTTTATACCCCAAGTCTTCCTTCTCAGAATCAACGTATTATTTATCATACTTAGTATGCATATATATATATATATGTATGTATGTATACACACACACACACACACACACATAATCGCAAGTTTTTTCTACTCACAATATTTGGTTATTGAAAATTCTGCCATTTAAGTTAAAAACAGATCTTTCACACCCTCTAAGGAGACCAGCCTTAGATTTCTGGTCAACCCAGGTGCCCCATGTTCACTTCATCACCCAGAATACATCAATTCCAAATAAGGAATTGGAACTAGCTACCCAGTTATTCAAGTATCTGAAGAGCCAAACACTGTTTAGGTGCATAGACTACAAACATTATGCTCCCTGGTGGCCTCAGCTAGGTGGTGAACCAGGTCCCCATTAGGCCATAAGGACAGAAAACAGGTCCTGAATGCATCTTTGGGTATGTAGCTTCATGAAGAAGCAGCTATGCCCTAAAGAGCTTAGCATGTGGTCCAGGCCAAGGGTGCACAATCAAATGTAAGAACACAAACAGGAGAAGTTCATGGTAGAGGAACTGGGAGGCTTAGGGAGGGGGAAGCTGAGAAAGAGAAGCAGAACTATTACCAAGAGCCCAAGGCGTGTCACAGTAAGTGCACGTTGGACTGGACAGATGAAGTGAAAGACTTTGAGCAATGTAACAGCATAAAAATTCCATTTAGAAAGATCACTTTTTCCTTTTTAGGAGGGATGAGA